AGGGTGTACTAGTGGCAGGGGTGGCCTTTATGCCAAGGAGACATCAGAGGATGTTGTAAAGTGCTCTGAAGACTAGGTAAAGAGCTAGTCCGATTGTGGTCAGATGATCTATACCGGTCTGATGGAAGCAGGGGCTTTGGGCATATCCCCCTCTAGCATTGTGCCAGATCCTCTGAGGGAAGGCTGAAAACCCCATTTCCCCTGAGCCACTGACCAGGACTAATACTTCTGGCATCACACTGGGTACTGGGTGTGTGAGTGGTGGTGAAGGGGAGCATAGGGACGGAATAAGATGAATTTGACTTAAAGCTCCCCAGGAGCTGTTATAGAAAACAAAGGAGGGTGGTCGTAGCCTCAAGTCTAAAGGTGATGGGGACAGACTGAGGCTGGGAAGAGGGTCTAGGAAAGGACTTATCGTGTTCTAAGGACACAAGGAGAAAGGGAGTGGCCAAGAAAAGCAGCCAGTGGCCCCTCTTGCCTTCTTGGCTGTACAGAGAAGAATGGAGTCCCTGCTAGGTACCATTGACACCGAGATGCAGAAGACAGTGAGAGAGGTTACTGCCTTACCCCATCCTGGGATAGAGGCTCCACCTGAGAGACCCAAATCCCCACCCCTCACCCATCCCAACCCACTAGGACCCCCTGAGAAGTTGGGTCCTATCACGACTCACATTTATAAGCATTTTCACATCCTGGGCTTTATTGAAGTAGCAGGCAGTGATATGTCAGTTACAGCAAATTCTCCTCAGTCACCTTCACCCCTTTTACCCACCCACATCCTTTGCTGTCGGTGCCAGCAAACTGCCATTCCAACCTAGCAGAAATTGTTCCTCTCATTCCATTTCATGCAGCTTTAACCATGTGTTCCCGGCTTCCGAGAGAGAACTGGGTCCCAGAGGCCATCCTGCATTGAGTTGCATGATTTCCACTTTTGTATGGCTAAGACTACAAACTGTAAAGCTTCTTTGAACTGTGAGAAGTTGCTTTGCTCAGTAGTACAGTTCTTGGACAATTCTGTTGACTAAATAAGAAACACACATTTAAGTCATCTTCTTAAGAGACTAAAAAAAAAAAAAAGGACCGAAGCACACTGTCCTTTAAGCCCCCCAATCCCTAGGTGACAACAACTCAAGCAGGCCTACTTTCTCTACCTAGGGAGGGTCCAGAGGACATTGCCTACTGATGATGGAGATTAGGACCTATGGCCATTTGTAACCTTGGGGAGGGTGCTAACAGGGTATAGGTAAGATGCATGATTCTCATGGCAGGGACAGGAGGACAAGCAAGGAAGGGGTTCACAATGAACCGTGCAGTCATTTCCTCACCACATACCCCCTAGACTACTCCCCATTCCCCATGATGGCTTCCCAGAGGGGTTTCTAAGGCCTTTCTGGAGCCCATAGACAGACTGAGTCCATAGCCATCCCTGATCTGACCTGCTTTACTCCACAATGACTTCTGGCCATGGGGGCATGGCAGAGGGCACAGGCAGAAACCTTCAGAAAGACCTCTGAATCTTCACTTCCCCTCATCAGCCCTTTCCCACACCCATCAGTGAGTAGACAACCCCAGAGAGCAGCCACCTGAGACTTTGTATGTGGCAAGTGGAGTCCATAAGAATCCCTTTGCCCCACTGGACCCCTGGCCATAGTGACAGGGACATTATGGTTCATGTTCACCTGGGAGCAAACAACATCTTACTTTCAACTTTGTGCAGATTCTGGTGAGTTCTTTCAAGTCCATATAAACTTTGTTTATGTGACAGTCATTTTTGTTTTGTTCAGTTACATTCTTCAGGGTAGAGATGAAGTTCTTTGTAAACTCTCCATAACAGGGCTCCTGAAACAAGGTTGTAAGGACAGGTATGGTGGTGGTACACAGCAGAGCACCAACTGACCTCCAAACTCATCCATCCCTGGCCACCCTGGCTGGAGGACCCTGGACTCAAACTCAGCCCCTACCTTGTCTCTTCCACCAGAGACCCATAGACCTTACAGTGCCGTGCAATGGAAGTAGTGGGTGTCTAGCCTCCTTTGGGGTCCCAGCCTGTTCTGAGATGGGTTCAGAGAACTAGTTGCCCTTAGAGGGCCTTGTGAAGCTCTGCCCCTTTAGCCTGGGACCTGGCCACTGCTTTATCTGTTGGCTGAGCTGGAGGTTCTGTCCTCAAACTCTGATTTTTCCCAGATGTCTCACTCCAACATTCCTTGCTTGTACCTCTTTCCTGGGTACTGACTAGGGTCATAGCTCTTGCCCTGTTCCAGTGTGGTCAGAGGTCCAAAACTCCTTACCTTGCTGGTGTTCTGGGGTCTACTGTAGTAGAAGCCCTGGAAACAGGAGAAGTTGATCAGAATCACCAAAGGCATTGAGAACAAAACAATTGCTTATGAAAACCCAGACTTACAGTGTAATTAAATTTATCAGCCGAAAGTTCTTTATAAATCTCAGCGCAGATAGCAGTGTGATTTTTGTGGAGAGACGAAGTGGTGATCATCATGGGGATGGAAAGGCTTTCGGATCCCCAGATCGCCCAAGCCAGGAGCACACACAGGAACATGGTACTGCTGCAGGTGGCCCCAAGCTGATCTGAACCCTAGACTTGGCAGTATTTCTGTGAAGAGGGGGTACCTATATATGTGAGTCTAAGGAAATGCTAAATCTCTTATCAGTCATCAATGGTTTACGAGGAAGACTGAGAGGACCTTATCGCTGGGCAAGATGTGCTTTTCATGCATTTTCTATGACCACAGCGCACTTCATGGATTCTTGTCTTAGCTGAAATTCAGACTTAGTCTAAGAACTTTTATTTGTAATCACATCTGGAGTCGTGACCTTTCTGCCTAAAGGTAGGGTGGGTCTTTGGTCAGGACTGGGATTGTCTGCCGGTGCTAGCTGGGCAGAGAGTGTAAATGGGACTGATAACACCCAACAAGTTGCAGCTAGGACCAGCTTCCCCAGGCTCACCTGTCAGGCATGAGACTGGCCCCTGATGCCCATCTGAGACCTTGAGACATACCCACAGTCCCCAGGAGAGCCAGTGGGGACCAAGCTAACTGGTAAAGCAAAGGAGAGGGGCAAGAGCAACTATTTTACCAGCCTGAAGGCCATGGATTGTAGGGAAAAGCGCCTAATTGGATTCAAAGCATTGTGTGAAAATAGAAGCCAGTTCAAAAAAGTACCTCACTAAACTCATGCACCAACAAATTATGGACTTACATTCTGACTCTTGAAGATTAAGATCACCCATTTGGGGGGAAATTTGGTAAATATGCTGAGCTCTGACCCCTGTGGTTTGGTTTCTTTTACTCTGAACAGTTTCTCTTTGCTAATTTACCTTGGGAGTGGCTGTAACCATGGTACATTGTGGGCAGGGGATGGGGACATGGCCCAGAGCCTCTGAGGGATGTATGTGTTTTTCCTGAGGGTGAGGGTTTTGCCTGTTCAACCAATGACCTGCCAACACCAGGGAAGAAGATACCCCTTTTCCAGGGCAAGGCAGAGACATCACTGGAGTTGGGGAGGGAGCTGTTAGGGGGTGTGGACCATAACAGGTAACATGGTCATAAGTGACGCCAAGAGGACCGTCTATAAAATTTCTGTGCAGTGTTTCAGCAAAAATTCTTTTTTATAAAAATAACCCTTTAGTCAGTTGTAACAACAAAAACATTTTTCTTAAGTCTAGCTTACATGTGTCAGTATACCCACAAACCTAATACTCTATGCTAATTTACTGTGGACCCTTCTATTAAAGCTTCCATTATTATGCAATTAGAATGGTTCTGTCTGCAGGTGCTGCAAGTCTTAGCTGCTGCTCATATTTTTGTTGGTGCCAGTGTTTTTACAGTCTCTGCTTTTATCAAAATTTCTAGTAATTTAGCCACAGTGTTGTAAGTTAGTATTTGTGAGCCTAGAGCAATTTTTTTTAAGAATACAGTAGAAATTCAAGGAAAAGAAGGAAAAAAATTTTTTAAAGCTCCATCTCAGTTACTAATAACGTTGCAATCCAATGCAGGAGAATTTACAAAACAATTGTGTTGCTAGTATTCGTAGAATCTAAGAAATATTGCATTAAAGTAATTTACAACAGTATCACATGTTATTCTCTGATTAAAATTGATAATAGACATTATTAAGGATTACGTATGATCTGGTACCCCGAGATGGACTTATTGTGTGGTGTTGTAAGATAAGCACTGAACTGTGAGCCACAAGGTCAGCAGTTCAAACCCACCAACTGCTTCTTAAAAACCCTATGCAGGGTCGCTGAGTTGGAACCAACTCAACAGCACTTAACAATTACAACATAGTTCGGTAGGGAAGTGCATGGCAGGGCAGAGGAAGGTAACACCATGAGTTAGCGCACTAGGTAACACCAATCCTACTGACACCACTTAGGGCAAGATTCCAGCTGGGCTGGTGGCTGGAAACCCTTCTCTGGAGTGAGAAGCCTTGTGTCCTCAGAGATGCCCATCAGGTATACAAAATGCTCTCCCAGCGTTGCCCCTAGGACAATGGCCAGCTGCTGCAAACCCCTTGCCCCATTTCCTCCCCTCCCTGCCCTGGGGGACAAGGGACATCACCAGTATTTTTTTGTTGTTGAAAACAAATCAGAAAAACTGCACATATAAGAACACTCTTTTAATAATTTATTATTATGGTGAAAGTATCATGTATAAATATGAAGTATAAGATTAAATAAATAAATAAATAAATAGAAATATAGATAGATAGATAAATACATAAATAAATATTAAGGATCTCTCCCAGTATAAAACACCCACCTCCCTACCAGACCCCCATCAGGGTCAGCATGGCCCAGAACAGGTCTATTTCCCCCTCAGAGCATAGCCCACTTTGTGGTCCCTCTAAGGCAAAGATCCCGAGTTTCTGGTTCCTTGTGCATGTGTAGGAGGGCAGCAACCCATGAGGTAAGATCCTGGGGTGGTCCCTGGCTGAAGGGTGCAGGGTTGGTGGGCTGGCTCGCCTCACTTCTAGGCCTGCTCTCAGCACTCAAAAGGGATGTGGAGCAGAAAATTTCTGAGGTGATCTTTGAAGTTTTTGAAGGTGACAGTCTGGTTTATACAAGCAGTTTCCTTTAAAGATAAAACAAAACAAAACAATACTTGAATCCTAGACATAAGAGAGTAGCACAGGGACACATCAGCAGGTTTCTACACTGCCTCCTAGAACTCAGAGACCAGAAGGCCCGTTCCACTATCCTGGGTCTGTGTCAACCAAGGGGTAAATAGCTCTACCAACGACAAGTGGGGCCAGGGGCATGACCAGGTGCCAGTATCTAGCAGCATCCTCCCTCCCCATCCCTCAGCCTGAGTCTGGTCTGCTAGGCATCCAAACCAGGACCTCTTTTATCACTGGTCAGAGCAAACTAACCAGGCTGAAGCCATGCCAATGCCCTGAGGGACAAGACTGTTGGGGCCTTGCCTATTCTAGTCATGCAGGCCACAGAAAAGCCCTGTTGGGAGGTGGCCCAACATTTCCTCTGTACTAGGCCAGGCTCTGAGTCTCCATGGGTTTGCCTCACCTCTGTCTGACCTGATTGATTAATAATGACAATGACAGTAGCATTAAGGAATGCAGCAGCTCCCCGCTAGGGAGCACTATGGGCATCCCAGCTCAGTGGCTTTATCTCCCAGTGATAGAAGTGGGTTGTTCCTTTTCTGGAGGACAAATCATTAGAAATCTGTCTAGACAGAAATCCTCTGGAACCACTCAGAGGACACATCCCAGATACCCCACCCTCCTTGAATGAGACTTTTCTCCCTGGGGTCCAGCAGTCGGGTGGACGCCCTAGCATGGGCACTTACTGGGATTTCTGGGCAGTGAGTCTTGTAGTATTCGGCCATTATGTTCAGGAGGCCCTCGAGGCTGGTGAGACTACCCCGCAAGCCCTGCTTGTACAGGTGCAGACGGGTCTGCAGGCATGTTAGTGTCTATAAGAAATGTCCATTCTTAGTGAGCAGTAGCCAAGTGCCCTCCCACTGTTCCTTCCTGTTCCCATTCCCATCTCCATCCCTGAGAGCTGGACCTGGAAGGGGCAGAATATAATTCCTGATGAGACTCATTATGGGTCTCATCATACACATTGCCCTGTCTACTGCAGGCAAGCGTTTGGACCCTCCTTATCACCTAGGATCAGCACAATCACAGCCCCTTAGCTTGGCAACTCGAGTGGGTCCCAACAACCAGGGAAGAAGGTCAATTCCTACTGCCCATCATTCTGGGAGGAGGGGACAGAACAAGTCACTGACTGGACCTGCTTCTAAAGCAAGGGTTGTTCCTGAAGCCCCTCAGTGCCCCTCTGAAGTCAGTGCCTTGGGCCTTGGGGCAGAGAGTGTTCTTATGAAATAACCCCAGCTCACCCGCCTAGCCCCTGGATCTGCCTGTGTGCTACATCTGCTTGTGGTTGCTCAGCTGATAAGGAGCACACGCACGTGACTGCTACTGGGCAGGGCCAGCACTCTTTTGCATACCAGAACACTGCCCCCCTGTCCTGACAACCAGCTCCTCATAGGGCCCATCTAAAAGGGAGCAGCCCCCAAGAGCAGAGGCCCCTGGGAAGGTGTGTCAGAAAAAAAGGCTCTTACCTGAGGGTTAACCCTTCCTGCCACGACCTTTACTGTTTCCTGTAGGAAAAACAAAAGTCATGTTATCCAGTTGATAGGCAGGGATAAGGCCACCAGATACAGGTCGCCCAGACACAGGTCTGCGATGCCCCACTCACTCACCGTCAAAGCATCAGTGTCTTTACTGTCATTCAGGAGACGTTCGGCTTCGAAGATGGCCTTAATGTGCCTTGAGGGCTGGGTGACAGGGTTGTCTGTGGGTGCAGAGATGCTGCAGGCCACAATAGCCAGGAGAAGTAAGTTCCGAAGCCACATCCTCTAAGGACTTTAGCCTTTCTCTCTGAGTGCTGGGCTCACTGGCAAAAGAGTTCTTATATACACAGTTAGAGGAAATGATTAATGGTGACCACAAAACGCTAGGGAGGTGGGGGAACTACCTGAACTGTGGAATCTCCTGGTCCTTATCAGCTACACATGGGAACCTTGAGCCTTTCCTCCAGGTGGTCAGGCTCTGGGGTTTTCATTAATAAACCTTTCCAAGAACCTGCAGCCCACCTTCTTAAGCCCTCTCCAGCCCTCCCTCAATAGTCTGACTAGCCTGCAGCTATCCCTCCCTCTGAGTGGCTTCTAGGCACAACTTGGACTTTCTGGCAGGGCTTGGGAGGCACCTGATCAGGCTCTGAGACGCAGTCCCCAGATAGCCCTGTGCCAAGGTACCCCAGGAGACCTTTAGGTCTCTGCCCACCCTGGTGCCCATTCACACCCTGTTCTTCCCCTTCTGCTCCCAGAGCCCATTCCTCTGGCCATTGTGAAGGACTTGAGTATGAGGAGCCTGCCCCACTATCAATGTAGGAAAAGGCTAGCTGACTGGTCGAGTCATGCAACAGCTCTCCACAGCTCTCACCTAAGTGCTTTGCCCAGTCCGGGACCCCTGCCCCACAGACCCTGTGAACAGAAGCAATGGCAACTGATTGCATGTCCAGCCAGTGACGTTGCAGACAGTTCCTTCGTGGCATGATATCATCTGACAACAACAGTCCAGGTTTATAAAACCATATTCAACCCCATGGCTGCAGCAGAGGGGCCCTCAGCTAGAACCATTCAGGGTCCTGAGTTCAAATCCTTATCCAGAACCACCTTTGAGTGAACCTTCCCTCTGAGCTATATGAGCCTGAAGCCCGTGCCTCACCTGTCTTTGCAGGACAGGCTGCCCTCTGAAGTAGGCACTGAAGCTCCCAACTAGAGCACTGGCCATCTCCAGGAATTTTAGCTGGCTGCAGGGTTGTAGCTCTATGCACACCATGTACCTGGGACAGCAGCTTCTCAAGCGAGATCTTCCAAACTCAGCTTCTTACAGGGCCCCATCGTCACTCCACTCTACCACCAGCTCCAGAGACCTTTCTGTGGAAGCAGGAACTGCTCTTGGAAAAACCACCAGCTCTCCAAGGGCTGATAAGTGTTTGATTTTTCACAATGGGGTTTGGAGAGGGCAGCACGAGTTTGTTTGCAAAAGGATTGGGCTCAAGTTGTGCCATGCCATGAGTTTCATGTTCTCATGTGCCAGTGTGATTGGATGTGTCTGTATATACAAGTTTATTGGTGAGGGGGAAGGTGGGAGGTTGATTTACATGGGAGTGCATCCATGAGAGTCCCTGTCCTTCAAAGTCTGAGAAAACCTTCCCAGGTGATTATTCTGAGCATGTCCAGACTCTGGCCCTTCCTCCACCTTTCTTGTAAGGCCTCTACTGAGTCCCTTCTAGGAACGCTTAGGAGACATGACAGCTTGGAATGGGAGCCAAGATGGGGACAAGGAAACTGTATGCAAATGTCACAGTGAGTGGATTCGGAGGAATATGTCAGCATACTGGGTCTACTTCAGGCGGGGCTGTGAAGTTAAGGGGTGGAGTGAGGACTACAGGCCAGAAAGATAAAGAACTGGTAAGCTCACTCTGAAATAGCAGGTCACTTTCCTACCCAAAATAACTCAGACAGTTAGTTCAATTGGAGAGAAAGTGGACAGACCCTCCCGTAACCCTCACATCTGGTCGTTGAGGCTCAGTCTGGTGAGGGAGACAGACAAAAATGAACCCTCCATTTTGTGGCCAGGATGGGATGGGGGAAGTTCAAGCTAAGGGATCTCAAGGAACCACTCCCCAGTATGGGAGTCTTTGGGGACCAGGAGATTTCTGGGAGATGCTACCTCCCAGCAGAGGATAAATGGGCAAATAGAAGGCAGGTGCGTAAGTTGGTTATGGGATGGGAGGGAGGAAACAGAAAGGAGAGTGGATAGTGTCCCAAGCACAGAGAACCACAGAGGCAAAGGCCTAGAGATAGGGTAGAGAATAACGTGACTCCTCATTCAGGACAGCCAACTTGTGGCGATGTTGAGAAGAGAGTCTATGGGACAATGATTAGTTTGAACTTGGCCCAATCTGGATATCGTAGTAATAGTGACATTGACTACTTGACTAGGATTTTAGGAAAAAGTATGGAAGGAGAAGGCACTTTCTAGAGAGATTTATGGATAGACTCTTGATAGCACTTGGTGATAGATTGGGCTCATTAATTCATTCAATATTTATTGAGCACCTACTATGTTCCTAACAGGGGAAAGAGATCAAGGATGACTGAAAACAGACAGGGACTTGCCTCTGTAGCCCCATTGATGGAGGAGTGAGATTAATCTATTCGCCCACCCCCAAAAGTGTCATTTTGAATGTAAATGAGTAAAAGGAATTAGAGCCACTGACCAGGTGTCCAAGATGGGGATCAATGTCTACAAGGTATAAGGGTCCATGGGAAGATTCAGAGCTTAAAGGACTGCCTACACAAGAGACAGACATAGGTCTGGTCCATGTCTATGCAACAGCTAAGCACGCAAAAGTCAGAGGGCCACAGGACAGCTATATTTAAGGGCCAGTGGACTCAGTAGCTAGATGGTAGACTGGCCAGTGGCCAAGGGCCTTATGAAGGCAGAGAGAAGGGACAAACAGGATCTACAGGGAGAAATCTACACCGATGTGGTCTGTGGGAGCAGTCAGCATGAACAGGAGAGATTCCATGGGTTTGGTGATAAGATTCATGAGCAACCACACATCTTTCTCCTGGAAAGATGACATCAGGGCTGAGGCCATGACACGGGCAGGCATCCCTAGATTGTACCGCATGGAAAGAGCAGCGATAGCATCTAGTGACCGCAATGACTCAAGGCCACAGCAGGGGCTCTGATGGGCAGGTGTGACTCCTCTTTGCTCTCTCCCCACAGTGCCAAGAGAAAACCCTCTGGAAGGAGTTTCCTATGAGTCTCCTTCCCACAACTCTGGAGGAAATGGCTTGGGGCCACCTGGGGGTCCTTATTGAAAAAGGAAGTTGTGAAAGGAAATGGGCCTCAGAGTCTCTCCCATTCCATGGGATCTCTGCACAGGTATGTCAATTAATCTGACTTGTCCTATGCCTGCCATCCTGGGGTGGGAGGGTCCTTGTCCTTACTGGGGACCTGAGGCCCAGTGGTCAGTGGCTAGCTCAGTCTACATGATCACTAATGACAGAGTAAAGATTTGAATGCACATCTATTCCTGATGTTTTCTAGTTTCTTGGGGTCAGGAAGTCAGAAAGTTCTGGTCACTTACTTGGACCAGCAGAGGTATGGACCCAGCATGCTTGCTTCCCTTGGGGCATATGCAAAAGGAGACTTCTGTCAGGTGTTGGCAGGGAGGCTGGGTTGGCCTGAAACTGTCCCAGGGAAGCCCTGGAAACTGAAGGGCAGAATTTCCCCCATCAGATCCTGCTGTCTAGGCACCTCTGTGCCCCAGTCTTGAGCTTTTGTGTCAATTCTGCCGCCACTGGTTCCCATGTAGCTTTGGAAAGTCCCTCCTTGAGCTTCAGCGCCCTCATCTGTGCAATGTGTTTAATTCTGGCTACCACACAAAGGAAACTTTTGACTGCTGCAGGAAACTCTGTAGGAAAATCCTCCCAGGGAAGAGGCAGCATTTCAAAAATGTCCCCATCTTGACAGGTCTCTAAAGCCCAAACTGGACAGAGGGGGCCCAGTCTTGCTGGAATTTTCAAGATCAGCTGTCCATTACCCAGCCCTAACCTCAGGGAGTGCCATCCCAGATAGATGTGGTAAGGTGGAGAACTAGGTCCCCACTCAGTGTCAGGCTCATGGGATCCTAATGTACAAGGAGTCCAGGAGCTCGTCCTTCCATGAGAAGGAATTCTTGTCACTCCAGGTCATGCCAGACCTAGAGCAGCCTCTGTGGACTTTGTGGTCTTAGCTCCAGGCTAAGTCCTCCTGCAATTCCTGTCTAGGTCCCCAGAAAGGCATGTC